GCTGGAACAGTTTGCCCAGGACAGTGTCCAGGACAAAGAATGGCAACTCCACAGCCTTCCTGGGAAAAGTGTTATTATAGCTCTATCACAAAAGTAAAGCTGTTGCTTTGCTTTACTTTGCCACAGATAAGACCAGAGAAAAGGCTGCAGAGAAAAGAGTTAGAATATATTTCCTGAGTTTCCTCTTCAGTTATAAGGGGGAGTAACGTTCCAGTGAAATCTAGCAGCACCAGATAACATTTATTTAGACACTGCCAGCAGAGTTGGTGTTTCCACCTATTCCCTGCTCCCTTCTTTCTTCTCCCAGAACTCTTTGAAGGATGTCAGAATAGCAATTTCTCTGTTCTTCCCCATGACAAAGATTTCATGTTCTTGCCCATCAAAGCAAATAAGATGTCTGTTTGCATGTATGATAATACAGGTTAAATTCTGCTCATGCCTTAAAGACTATGTGAAAGACTTGTAGTGTTTGCATATATGTTATCTCAAAGTGTTTGATATTTTCTAGATATTTATATCTGCAATTGTTACATTGTGTTAATGTCTATATACATATATAAATATATGTGAATACATGCCTTTGCGCAAAACAATCAGCTATTCTATATGCCATACTAGCTGTAAATCTGTACCTAGAAAGAGGGACTTGCTTCCATGTTAAATATTTTATGTACAATCTGAAAAGTACCTTTATCTCTGGTATTCAGATATAAATTCTCATCTTTACTTTTGTAGTGGGATTCCAGAAAAGGACTCTGATCGAGCTATTCTCTTCATGTTTTATCCCTTCCCAAGTGTTGAATCTTTGAAAAGTTTTCAGCCAACATGAATGTATGTTCAAGTTCTGTTTCTACAAAATGATTAGCACTTATGTTGAGTTCAGCAGAGAACTTTGCACGAAACCCTCAGCATAAACCAGGATAAAAACCTTTAGAAAACCTCTCATTCTTTTACAGGCAGAATAACAAAGTCATATCAAGAGAGGATATTGGAGAAATGTGATGCAAGATGAAACCATATGACGACGCAATTACACAATTTTGCTCGTTATCATTTATAAATCTAATTAATAGAATAGTATTTGTTTTCAGTAATTTCAAACCTTAAACACGAATTTCTCAAATATATATGTCATTTTGTTTGACTATAATAACTTTTAGGAAAAAAAATTCAAATGAGGCACCTCTATTAAAAAAATAAAATAAACTGACAGATTATTTACTTTTTTACAAGGAAAAACAGAGTGATATTAGAGAAATATAAACAGGAAGCTTCTGAAAGCTCTAAATATGCTTCCATCAAATAGTCAGAAAAGGCTGGTTATGGTTTACCAGCAGTGCCCATGAAGAACACAGGAGACTCAATATGCTGCATCTCCAGACATTGTCATGGAAATGTCAATCCCTATACTTTCCTGTTGTTTACAAACTCTTAATTTTCATGTTCAGAACATGGGACTGTTATGTACCTCTGCCAGAACACACACAGAAGTCTACATGTCAAGAGGTTCCTTCTCCTGTGGAATTGAAAATATTGATTAAACTGCTTATTGTAAATGAAAATAAATTGTTTTCTATACACAATCACTAACCATTCTAAGAAAAACATAAGCAATAATAAAACAGAAAATCATACTAGGCGGTAATGCAAATCTCATGTACAAACAAATCCATTCTTATTACATATGTATGCACTTCTAGTGCTATCCCCTTCAAAATCATGCTGAACCACAAGATATTCTGCATTTAATTTAGAACTGGTAGAAATATATCTAAGCAGAAACAAATGTCTTAGCAATTACATCAGTACAGAGCGTGTTGATGGTTATGATCACTCTTCAGTCACGAGGGTGTCACAAAATATTAGGGAGATGAATCCTCCAGGGTAGCAAATCTTCTTCAAATGAAAACAGAGTAAACAAAAGCACATTCAAAAGTGATTACTTGTAATCACAGTAAAAAAGAAATATTCCAATGAACAGAAATATGTGTGTTTTGTTCTCCATACAAATCCTTTCCATATAATGAAAAGGTATCCTTCATAACACAGGTCATACTTTGTGATGTGAAACCTCCTGAGTCAAATGTGGAGGCATATAATGGTAGTTGCACTGACCCAATACTGTGTTGGTTAAGAGAGATATGTAGAATTAGGAAATGTGAGAAGTGGGCTGAATATCTTTAAGGATCTGATAAAATATCGGTTACTTATTAGGACTAAGAAATTATTATCATCTTGTGGAACAGGGGTTTAATTCTGCCAGCTGTCACATCAAGAAAAACATCTGTGTGTCTCTGGATGCAGGAAGAGTGCCATAGCAGCCCTGATAACTTCTAAAGTTTGGAATATTTTTTTCCACATCTTTTGATATATCTTTTTATTATATCAAGAATATTGGCCAACTTTATAAAGGTAAGTAAAACTCAAGTAGAGATGCCATCTTATATGGATTTAAATCATTTAAATCATAAAAATACAACACGTCTCATTCTTTTTTTCCTTCTTTCAAACTCTATATTGGAACAAGAAAGGCAAGACTGCATTTGCCACTAGTAATGTCCTCCTAAATAGCAGTCTGGCAAAGGGACACAGACAAACTGGAGTGAGTCCAGCAAAGAGTCAGAAAGATGATTAAGGACGTCAAGCGTCTGACACAGGAACTGGGACTTTTCAGCCTGGAAAAGGCTCAGGGGGATCTTATCACTGTGCATAAATATCTGATGTAGTAAAGAAGTAAAGAAGATGGAGACAGACTTTTCTTCACTGATGCCCAAGGAAAGGACATGATGCAATGGACACAAATTGAAATGCAGAAAAATCCATTTAAACACAGTAGAGAACTTCTTTTTTTAGCGTAAAAATGGTCATACATTGGAAGAGGTTGCTCAGACAGACTGTTGGATGAATTTCCATCCTTGGAGATATTCAAAACCCAGCTGTACCTAGTCCTGAGAAACCTGCTAAAGTTTGCCTTGCTCTGAGCAGGGGGTTATAGGAGACTGTTAAGAGGTGCCATCTAATCTCAACTATTATGTCATTCTGTGACATAGAAAAATCCTACCCTGAATGGTTGTACAGCAGGGGTTTTCTTTCATGTATCAATCAGATCACTTTAATTACACTATTAAAGATGGATCTCATGGCTTGTGTGAAAGATAACATAGTGTCACTGTCAGCTCGCAGCACGTGAGGTCTCTCTCCCACCTCTGGAAACCAAGATAGACACAACTACAGCGCTGTCCTGAGGAACAGAAATTTGAGATCAGTGAGAAAAGTACATCGTTAATTATTGCCCTCAGGTGATGTCTCCCACTGCACAATTCCCCAAAAGAAAAAACTCAAGTATGTGACACAAAGAAAGGTTCAGTACACTAGTATATAATGTTGACTAGACCATTACAGCGAAGGCTTAATGTACCCCCGAAGACAGAAAGTTGACTTCACAGAAATGTGTTTTTTTAACTCTTTTTTAATAAATCACTAGTTTAAAAATAGATACATTTTCATTAGTGCTCAGATTGCTTTCTCCTTCTTTCATCTGCCCTCATTTGTTGCAATAGTTATAGTCAACCAGAGAATTTGCGACAGGTATTGATGAAATACAGCAATCTGTAGGGAGAGAGGGGTTTCACATAAAATTTACAGCTTGTCTTTTTATGCTGAACTTTGATGTCAACCAAATTAAAATAGATTACTTTCTTTATGTTTTAACAACACAGACTGATAAGAATATCTACTGGAAATTTAGATAATTATCACTGGAAACCTTCCAATATGCTGCCTACCTTTGTCATGATAACTACATTTCTCGTTTGCCAGATACATATTTTGCTCCAGGTTTTCTTTAAAATGACTAAAGAATAATTTAAACTCGCTCTGTCTTTATATTCCTGGAGACAGGGATTCCCTTTTCATGAAAATTTCATAGGAAGAAAAAAGGTTTAGAAGAGAAAAAAAACTGCAAACTACAGCCAACATTTATATCAACCAAATGGCCTGGTACATTACCTAAAGCAAAAAAAGCTTCCACTTGGAAGCTAAATTCAAAATGACCTTGTGCTTTTTTTTCAAAAAGGCTGGCAGCTGAGGTCACTGGAGTGAATTGTGATAGACAGTCCTTCTCTCCGTATAGTTAGGAGGCATGTCTGGCACATGAATTACTGCCAAGTAGAGAACAAAAAAATATAGCATAGAACACTCATTTCTTTGTAAAATAATGGCAAATGTGATCTACAATGATTATGACTTTCCTGAAATATTGCAAAATTTTCAGCAACTTTATTTCACCATCAAGCATGTTCTAGCCTTTTCAATTTAATGTTCATAAATTAAGTCTGTTCTTTTATTGGTCTCTACTGTTAACAATAGTAACTACACTTCCCCAGCAGGCAGATCCCAGCTGCACATAATATTGTGCAGTGTAGTTTAAAAAAATATATATTGCACTTGTGTTAAAGCTGACTAAATCACTGAATCAAATATTAATGAAATGGAAAAGAACCTGGAACTGCAAGTGAGTGTTTTAATTGAGATTTAAATATGAGAGCTGAAAGCAAACTCCGCACTATTCACTTTTGTGAGGAAATTGTTAACAGTAATTTCAGAAGAAGGCAATTTTCACAAGGCTGTTTTTTCAATTCATTCTCCAAAGAACACATGAGCAACCTCTGTCAAAAGACTCTAATCTGTCAATAGGACTGCATGAGTCCTCAACTTGTTTCTACAATAGCAATTTTTTCACTGTAATGTTTTGATTGACAGATTCTTATTTTTTACATCTGCCTCTTTTGGGAGCAGCTTAATGTTAAGATGAAAAATACACTTGGGGGTTTCAAAGCAGGTGGAAAAACTCACACTTCTGATTAAAAGAGAACTGCTTCTAATCCTGTGTTTTCCACTGTGCCTGAAAATGTCCTATATATAGAAGAAAAAACATCTTGACACTTCTGAAACATTTAAAGAAGAAGAAAAGGGGGAAAAAAAGACTACATGTAACTTACCATTAAAGTTTACTGCTCGAATATAACTAAGTAGCTCTTTACCATCAATTGTACTCATCCTTGGGCACAGACCAATATATCCAGGACAGAGATCTTTATGCATGTTGTGTAGTGCATAGGCCATGGAATAAACAGCATCAATTACAAATTGAACTTTTCCTTCTTGCTCATAGGCTGAATCTCTTGCAATTCTTTCTAAGCCTAAGGAAGAAGAAGAAGAAAAACAGTCAGTCATCTTCTATCTGTGTGCATGTGTATATGTGTCTGTGTGAAAATTAATAGCAGAATATAAATGATTACAGTCAGATTGGTGAGTAAAATTAGGACTCAGTTACCTGTCAACTAAACAAACAAGTAAAAATAAGGCCATCCGGTTTTACCTCTAATCATTGTACACTCTGCCAGCTATATAAACAGTACGTTGAGTTCTGGGTTGGAAAGGAGAATACAAGATTTAATTAAAATAAAAAGTAGTATGCATACATACGTATTTCTAATTTTTTTTTCCAGTTCACTGATATTCACTGAACAGCTGATTATTATTTTTATATGACATTTTTAAATGACCCTGCCATTCTGATTTAGATTAACATTGAGGCTACCTCAATTTTTATCTACATCTATTGTTTGATAAGGATTATTTAAACATGTCAGGGAAAGAAGCTGAACATTTGTCAAGTGATGTCACTGTCTGTTTCCATATAGAACAGTGCTTATTCTGAGATCTTTTTCCTGTATATATTGATGAATTATAATTTATATGGAGAAACATGTAATGTCTCCTTCTCCCCACAGGGACAGTTTCCCTGACGAAGGAATACAGAGGAAAACAAAACATTATGAAATTTTTATTCTGGTGAGATTGCCAACCTCAACCTTTGGAGACAACTTTTACTTTCAGAGGTGATAGTGCTAACTGGGAAAGTTAAAAGATAATAGGAAAGAAAAATATATTTTTAATAGACTACCAACATAACATCCCTTGTCTCTTACACTTTATAGGAATTCTGCCATTGATTTCAAAGAGTCAGAATTTTAATTTACAAGGAGAATGAAAGCTCTGAAAATATAGATGTGAGGTCTGCCCCACTGCAGTCTATGGTCAAGCTCAGTCATACTGAGTCAGCTGGCTCAATGAACATAGGATTTAACACCTAGAATACAAAATCTTCCTGTTTGAAAATATTCCATACAAGTTGTTTCAGACTATTTATAAATGGAACAAAAATGTATGCCTCATTTCTTTAATATTCTATGCCTTAATACTCTGTCATTTTATGTTTTACTCTTATTGCTAAGTACAGGATTATCTCAGATTAATATATCTATTTTGTTTTGTTTAAGTTTTAAAAATTCCATTGTTTAGGTCTCATCTTTCTTTAGGCAAAATATGCAAGCAAAAGTGAAGTGAAAAAATGCCAAAACAAATAGTAGCTCTACTCACAAGTCTTTCTTCTCTTTGCCTTCTGCATTTTGCCACTGTCTCATATTATAAAACTAACATGTAACTTCTAAGAATTGAACAAATTTGTAATCTGATAAGCAGTAGTATTTTGTGCTTTAAACCTCTCTGAGCAGTGGGAAAGATATTGCTCAAAAAATCATGACTTACTTTTTCCTCAGGGATTAGTAATAAACATCACCACTATTGAAAAAGATACTGGTCATTCAGGAGGAAATCACATAACTCATTTTTGTGACTGATTCCAAGTGATTTGATCGATGCTTTTCAAGACCTGTTATTTATGATTGGCAAAATCGTAGTAAATAGCATGAGGCACATGCTAAACAGAAAAACTCCTTGCACATGCTGAAGCTAGCACACTTAGTTAAAATGCAGACATAAAGGATTATAAATAGGATGCAGATGAATTAGATTGCAACTTTATTAAATTATTTCATTTGAGAACTAGCTTCCAACAGTAAATCCCAGGTAGAGCTTAGGAACCCTACCTTAACTGTTTCTGCCTCGTTAATGACTGCCAAAAAAGGACACAACAGGATTTACAGAGCTGCTATAGGCACGCAGGATCTAATGACCTGCAGGTACTCCCAGAGATTCCTCATCCTCTGACTGGGATGGTCAGGACAAGAGAAATTTGAAGGAGACATGCCTCTTTTATTGCCAAGCCAAATATAATTCCTCTCACACACCAGACAGATGTATGTGTATGTCTAAAGGTAAGGGATGGTGAGAAGACAGGAGGAATCCCTTTCTATAACAAATACTAAATTAAGAAACACTGAAAATTGCAAACCCTATGAAAATACCTTGCGCTATGTGCAGGAGCTTAGTAGAATAAGGGGTAAGACCAGGGACGGAGCTCCTACTATGCTGCAGGAGTTTGTCCCTGTGAGATAGTTGCTGATGATGATCTTCCTAGAACAAGAGTAATCATCTGGACCATTGCAGGAATTTGCCTTCATCCCTTCTATCCATTTCTTTTCCCTCTTTGCTATTGTAACCCCTGTACTGCAAGAATAATTACACCTGCTGCTCAGGATGGTGGCGATCACCTAAGACAGAGTGACATAAGTGATAGCGTGAGATGTAGATTAGAATGATAAGGAAGGTGTGTGGGGTACAAGCCTGTAGCTGAAGAAGAGCAGGTGACTTCGTCAATTCTCTGACAAAGAACTGGGAATTAAGAGATTTCAGGGAATCTACTCCAAATAAATCTTCACAAAAATAAACTGCATTTTAATTAAAAGTTTCTACTTAATATGAAATCTGGAATCTTAATTCATGCTCCTTGAAGACCACAGGTTAGAGTCAAGCACTTTGTCTGCAACAGATGGTTAGAACTCCAGACTGGAACAGTATTCTGAGGATACGGGGTTTCTGCTCTGGACATTTTGTGCTTTGGGAGACAAAAGTGTGGTTCCAGTTTGGCGTAATGGAGCTATTTTCTAGACTAGAGCAGATGAATACACTCTGAAACCAAACAATCATTTCATTTTTCTGTTCATTTTATTTGAGTCATATTGATTTATTTCATTGTAGTTTCTTATTTTGAAAAAATTATATTTTATTAATCTTCTTCTTTATTATCAGTCATTCACTGTTTTGCCTCTGACCAACTGGAACATAATATAGTTTAAATCTTCCATCAGTTTATGTATCCTGATACTTTAGAGCTTACCAAAAATCAAATTAACAACTCAGAAAACTTCTATCCAGCTCTCTGAAAACACTCAGGTATACATTATACAGATTTTCAGTTTAAAAACTCTCATCTTTAAATGTTGCAAAGTGTCACCATTTTCAGTTACTTAAATTGAAAATACTTTCCCCATCATCATCTCATTATTTCATTCAAATTTATTTCATTACCATATTATTAACATAATACTAATTTTTCAGTGTCATTATTGATATATCTAGCAATGGACTAATAATTCATTTTGCTTGAGAAACTCATGGAAAAAACACTGCTGGCTGTAGATTTCCCTTTATATGATTTTCTGGCATTTATTTCTATATTTGCTATTTTTTGATTTATATATCATACTTTTTGCCTCATGGGCAAAAACCACTATTTCATTTGAAAAAATAGCTTAAAAAATGAAGCCTTTTATGTCTTCCCCTTCAGTTAGGGCACAGCAACATGAATAGCTGACTTAGCAGAGAGAGAAATCCTGCAATAGGGTCAGGAGCCTCCTAAAGTTACATTTGTCACTTTTGAAGAAAGATGCTTTACATAACACCTGTATTCCTCCCACCTTTTCTCAATCTCAGCCACTCTTCTTTTTCCCCTGTCTCCTCTCACATCTGCTCACAAATCAGCTCTTTTATGGCCTGTGCCCTACTTCAGGGAAGAAAATTCTCCAGGGTTAACAGTGAGAGGACAAGTAATGTGTGCATGGGGGCTGACAAATGACAAAAAAAGGATTTATGAAAACAATAATAGGTAAAATAATTGTTATTGATGAACAATGTGTATTCTATATTAGCTTCTATTTACCTATATTTGTTATATTTCTTTATATATGATTATTGCTTTAGACTAGATAGTGCAACTGTATAACTCATTGGAGATTTTTTTCAAACTTCAGTATTGGCCATTTGGGGGTTTTAGATATCTAGGATATTTTTTTTTTCTGTTCCCAGCCGCTATTCATATAATTTTCCTCACATCTAAATTATCACAGTTACTTGGCTCACAAAATGACACTCACAAAAGGTTTTAGTCTAACGTCACTTGGAAGCAAACAAAACCAAAGATAAACATTACTGTTTTGAAATAGTTATTTTTGTTCATGCAATGATAATTAAATCATAATCATTTGTAAATAGGTTACCATTAATCTTTAGATCAGGGATGATCACCTCTATTTGACAGAATTTGCTAGTGCATCCCATCTTTGCAGCAATATTTTCTTCCTCAGAAAGTTGTCATCTCTAATTTTTAGAAATTCTAAGTCATTTTAGCAGGCTCAGCAGGAGCACCAGGAGCATATGCTGCTCCAATTGAAGCCTTCCCTGATTATTCAGCTGTCTTCCTGACACCTTATAGAGAGGCTCCTAAGAGTTTATTCTCTCTGAACAAATAATATTATAGAGATCACCATACTCAGTTACTCAAACTTAAAGGGTTGATATATTTTCATGGTGGGGGAGTCAAGTGCTCTTTTCAAATAGCCACTCTGTAAAAACGAACCTTGTTTTGCAAACGATGAGTTCACAAAGAGCCTCACAAAAGCTACAGCTTCTCTATAATAGTATGATACCAGTTTAGGAAGCAACTCAGAGAGGAAGTTAAGGATTATATCAATTTTCCTAGCCATTTCAAAAAGAAAATTGAGAATGTGGAAGCAATGATAGTGAAATGAAGCCATTTGACTGTGTATTCTCCTCCAAAACACAGCAGATGTGGTTCTGCAGTTTAATGAGCTCACACCTGGTGTAACTTTTGGGCAGTTGTGCCTGTTTATGCCAGCTCACAAAATACATACAGTAAGACCAATTAGTTAGGGTCTGAGTTAGAAAGAGTTTTTCAAACACTAGAAGATGGTACAGATTTTAAAATGCTTCTTAGACACAACTGGGATGAAACCTCATGTTTTTAAGACACTTTGCAAACAGAAAACAGGAAAAAAGAACATAGAACACTTCAAGTGAGTGACAGCATTTCCAGGATTTTTATTTCAATGTCACCTTAAATGATAAACTATTTTTTTTCATTTGTGTGTTTTTCAAA